ATCCACCGGGCTGTGGTGGGTATGTGGGCCTGCGGGCCGCTCCAAGCAACAGCCTAGTGGACCAAACACTCACAAGTCAAGCCTGGCCTCGGGCCGGGCTTGGGGAGTAGAGGAACTCCCAGAACCCCATCAAGCAGGTATATGTGGGCCTGCGGGCCGCTCCAAGCAACAGCCTGGTGGACCAAACTCTCACAAGTCAAGTCTGGCCTCGGGCTGGGCTTGGTGATTAGAATAACTCCCAGAACCCCATCAACCAGGTATCCTTTGGATAACTATCTGCCACTTTACAGATCAAAGTTCTCTGGCAGCAACTGAACGTTCGTGTTAATCTAAGTCAAGTCTTTTTTTATGCAAAAGAATCTTCGCTCCTTTTTTAATTTGAGTTCGAATTTTAGTATGTGTTATGTTAATTTTATATTACAGTATTTCCATAGCGTAGAGTTCCAATCCGTTTTGCTTGAGTATTATTTTGTTTTATATTGCTTACCTTTCAATTAGAGATGGATGAAAGGATACTCCACCCTCATGCCTTCTTTCATCATATTTGTATGGGCAAATATTTATCTACATATTATGTAGATTATCTACTATAAATATTATCTACAAATGCTGTAGCGACTTTGTCTACCTTTGTTCCTACCTTTCAGTTCCTTATTGTAGACAGCCATGAGCAAATGTAACTTGAAGAGATATTCTATAAGTGTAAACAAAAAAGCTTTGTATATGTGCGACCTAAACAGCTGTGAATCATCATAACCTAAACTTTGTATAAATGCTCCCTAAACAGCCTGGTTGATCAAAGGCTCCCAAGGGCAGAGAAACAACACTTGCGTATTAACTATGGCTTTTATTGACATTCATGAGCAAAAAATTTCAGTAAGCAGAAGCAGTGACACACACCACATGGTACTATGTACAGTCCTCACAGTCTTCAGTAAATATATATATATACAATTAGTCGATCAAATTACAAAACAAAAGGTGGATAACAGAGGCAAAATGATGGGAAAAGGGGGAGGGGATGGATGGGAAGAATGGGGGGCTAGGTAAGGGGGGGTGATGGGGGGTAGTTTGGTAAAGGGGGGATGGGGCCGGAAGAAAGATGGGGTAGGGGGTGTGACAGGTTACGTTGGCATCACTCGTATTGTCTAACATTCTACAGAATAGCAAACTAATAGACAAGCTTGTGAAGCCTTATTGTAAACCACATCTCCCATGGTAAACCTCCACTATGGGAGTGGGTGGGTGGGTTTACCCCCCATGAACGCACTGTAGCCAATTTGGCGGAATTCTGTAACCCGTGACGGGACTTCACTACCCACACTGGGACTACAGAACCTCCCCCTCCCTCCCCCCGTCATTGAATGGGGCTAGGAAACCAAAAAGCATAATAAACTTTTCTCCTTATGTTCAACAAAACCATTGTACTAAAGGTCTCGATACAATTTGTACAAATAAAGTACATATAAACTGTTGCATTAGGAACATATTGTTTTTTTTACTCAGAACATAAATTCCTCAAATATATATAATATATATATATATATATATATATATATATATATATATATATATATATATATATATATATATATGTCTGACAAGAACACAAAATCACTTACAATCTGTCTGTTAGCATACTTCATTGTTAATTTATAACATTAGTCTGTTAAACCGTCATCTAACAACTTCACTTTTATCCTAGAAAAAGTGAAAAGTTATCGCATCGACAGACACACATACTCACAGGAAAGGAGACACCCCATAGCCTTTATCTAGACAAATAAAGTAAAAAAAAGAAATCTCATTAGTGTGAAATATCTTGTAACTGGCTGCTTCTCCAAGGGGGAAACATAACTGGAGCGAGTTTCAGGGGCCTGTGTTTAGCAAGATCACTCGTACACTGAGTACCAACTTGTTTTGTACACCTGCTTGATACCTGCTTGATGGGGTTCTGGGAGTTCTTCTACACCCCAAGCCCGGCCCGAGGCCAGGCTCGGGGAGTTCTTCTACACCCTAAGCCCGGCCCGAGGCCAGGCTCGGGGAGTTCTTCTACACCCCAAGCCCAGCCCGAGGCCAGGTTCGAGGAGTTCTTCAACACCCTAAGCCTGGCCCGAAGCCAGGCTCGGGGAGTTCTTCTACACCCCAAGCCCGGCCCGAAGCCAGGCTCGGGGAGTTCCTCTACACCCCAAGCCCAGCCCGAGGCCAGGTTCGAGGAGTTCTTCAACACCCTAAGCCCGGCCCGAAGCCAGGCTCGGGGAGTTCTTCTACACCCCAAGCCCGGCCCGAAGCCAGGCTCGGGGAGTTCCTCTACACCCCAAGCCCAGCCCGAGGCCAGGTTCGAGGAGTTCTTCAACACCCTAAGCCCGGCCCGAAGCCAGGCTCGGGGAGTTCTTCTACACCCCAAGCCCGGCCCGAAGCCAGGCTCGGGGAGTTCCTCTACACCCCAAGCCCTGCCCGAGGCCAGGTTCGAGGAGTTCTTCAACACCCTAAGCCCGGCCCGAGGCCAGGCTTGACTTGTGATGTATAAACATTGTGTGTTCAAATGATCTCTTTTTCAACAGCGATCTGATATCTTGATTACAATTCATGACATAACTACAGGGGTATAGGACACTACATCTCGGTCATTGTGGAGGGAGCATTGTGTTATGAGCAACATTGAGCAACGTAGGAAGATTTCTTAATTTGTTATCTGAATTATGTGATACTAAATATAATTCACGCCAGCATCAGATATGCAGCAACGCCAGGCCCAAACATTAGCAGTCTGTGATCAGTGATTTTGGAAAATAGTCTACGTTAATTGGTAGCGGAGGGTAGGGGGGGGGGGTTAGAGAGCCCCAATAGCGTTGGTGGGTTTACAGGAGAGTTCTTGCACAGTGGCACCCATGTTGGAGGACCCCTCCACCTTGTTGGCTCTGCTGGAGGGCTCTTCCACCTTTTAGAGCCTGCTGGGGGCTCTTTCACCTTGCCCAACACAGGTCCCAAACTCGACCACAAGAGCACTCACTCACCGTGTAACTCTAGCTGGCCTCTTCTAGCAAGGAGTATTTTTTACAGCTTATTATTTCTATAATATTACTTGAAGTAGTCTAATCACTATCGTAGGCATGTCTATCATACAAAGATGCACCCTTCTATATCAAAAAAGGTTCCACCAGGATCTATACAAATACCATTGAGACGAGTGCCTTGAGCTCTTCAGGACTCTCAACACAATTTGAGAACATTTGTTTTCGGGATAATGTGATGCCGGACGCTGATTAGTTGAATATGTTTTAAGAGGCTTGAGCCACTCAGTGAGCAGATTATAATTCCTGAAAAAGGGCCAGTGACAGTCGTCTCAGGCTCATGAACGCCCTCCCCAGTGTAGCGTGGCTACTGCGGAAGGCGTTCTGCTCTCACTGGCTCACGAACACCTCCCTAGAGCCTAGCCTGGCTGAGAGGGAAGGCATTCTGCTCTCACTGGCTCACGAACACCTCCCTAGAGCCTAGCCTGGCTGAGAGGGAAGGCGTTCTGCTCTCACTGGCTCACGAACACCTCCCTAGAGCCTAGCCTGGCTGAGAGGGGAAGGCGTTCTGCTCTCACTGGCTCACGAACACCTCCCTAGAACCTAGCCTGGCTGAGAGGGAAGGCATTCTGCTCTGTCTCACCACTCTACCGACCTCCAGGAGAGCTACCAACCAGCCTGTACATAAGTTAGGCCGGTAAGCACAATAACAATAGAGAAAATATACTACATCGCAGGAATTTGATGAGAAACTGTTACAAATGTGCTATTCCTATGTATTTTTTTTCTTCTATATGGAATAGTAGCATGTGTACAAATTAAAATTCTTTGTAATGGACTTTGAGGACGACTACCGGGGCCTTAAGCTTTTGAAAACATGTCCACTGACACGCCTAATTACCAGGGCAACTGCCTTCTCACCGGTGAAATATATATATATATATATATATATATATATATATATATATATATATATATATATATATATATATATATATATATATATATATATATATATATATATATATATATGAATGTGTGTGTGTGTGTGTGTGTCTTTTTGCATTCAAACTGAAGAGTCAGATAATTTAAGAAAATGTTTATATATATATATATATATATATATATATATATATATATATATATAAATGTGTTTAATTGAATTAATTACAATTGTTTTATGGTGTATATAACTGACATGTGAATTTGTTTTCATGATAAATAAATTAGAGGAGTCTTGAAATGGAAACTAAGAATATGTTAAGTCAGTGGCCAAACATTTCAAAATAGGAAATTTGTGAATAATAATAATAATAATAATGAATACATTTATCGGTATTGACTTTAGCTATTGAAAACAATAGTAGTTTAGTAAACACTATACCCATAGTAATATTTTAGTATTGTTCACTGAAGAAAATTATTAGAAATGTGAAATAATCTTAGGTTTCATTAAGTCCGGCTGCCTGTTTGCTCATTCTTGAGAGAAGGTGATTGAAAATTTGATGGATAGATCAAGTGTAGCACCTGACACATGATCCTATGGAGCGATGAGCGGTCCTGTAGAGTCTGGCGTGGTGGTGAGCCTCACTGCGGAGTCACGCGGAGTCCTATGGAGAGCCAAGCGCGCTCAAATAGAGTGTTGACTGATTGTAATGGACTGAGGCGTGTTGGGGAACTTAAGACCCGCGGTAGATGTAGAGTCGAAGTAGACGTCCGTCGTCCGATTGAGGGTTAGGTAGGTAGTATCTACCTAATCGTAGATACTCGTAGATACTACGAGTATCCACCTCGTAGTACCGTCTCTCTCAGTCCGGAGCCGATGATATCTACCTGCTTGATTCGGGTGTAATTGCTTATTTGGCGATTCTATTCAACGAGTCAATTTCTTGTTTCAAAAATGACATCATAGAGAAAGCGTATGGATGCTTACACAGAGGTCCAGACTGTTGCAGATGTGCAGCATTCCATGCTCTCCATGGTTGCAGGTGTCCACACAGACCTCCAACACTGCAGTTGTCCACACAGACCTCCAACACTGCAAGTGTCCACACAGACCCCCAACACTGCAGGTGTCCACACAGACCTCCAACACTGCAGTTGTCCACACAGACCTCCAACACTGCAAGTGTCCACACAGACCTCCAACACTGCAGGTGTCCACACAGACCTCCAACACTGCAGGTGTCCACACAGACCTCCAACACTGCAGGTGTCCACACAGACCTCCAACACTGCAGGTGTCCACACCGACCTCCAACACTGCAGGTGTCCACACCGACCTCCAACACTGCCAAAACGCATCGTTGGTAACTTCGTGTCATCTTCCCTTCACCTCCGCTGCCTCAACACACCGGTCGTGCGAGAGGTCATCACAGTCTTCCGTATGCGAACACACCAGAACGAGACAGCGCTGGCCATCCGAAGCGAGAAGAGGTTTAAAAGATGTCGTCAGAAGATATTTTTGAGTCGGACAATATGAGGAACGCCTAAGGGAGAGAATGAGCCTGGTGGCACGGCTGGCATTAAGGAGTGCCATCAGTGTCACTGTCACTGTCTTTCACGCAGTTGAATTGTACGGTAGCGCTCTGCTTTCTTATATACTTTATATCGGGATTTTTCTGGCAGAGGCTCGGAGGACGAGGCCACTCTGTTCACGTCCTTGATAAAAGCTTGCGGAACTGGCTTTTGCGCCCACTTTTTGCTGCCTCTCGGGGACTGATGGAGGCAGCGCGCCACTCAGTCAGTTCAACAGCCTCTGACGCTCAGCCATAAGCATCGGTTAGGCTGCCACTTAAAAGTTTGCGGTTTATCACAAATAAATGGATTATTGCCACTAGCGCCTCGGGGGGGCTGGCACCACGACAACCGCAATCAGAACAAATTGTTAAGTTAGGCGGGACAGTGTTTCCACCACGCCAAGGGTCGGTCAGCCCTGCGCGTGTGATAAGGAAAGCCTAATAGGCCACAGCCTCACTCTTGAGAATCGTTTATTAAATATTTTGTTGCGTAAACAAACGCAGTATCTCAGCAGAGCAACACTAGAATTTAAAATGCACACATGGAATAAATCCAAAAGAGTCGACAATGTTGCATCGTTGGGGATTAAACCCACTGAGACGGCGGTCGCTGGGAAGTTGCAGCCAGCGATCTGCAACCAGCGCTCATTGCGTGAGCGCCCGTCCAGTCTCCTGCGCAACATCTCGGGTGATGGAGGCTTCCGTGTAGTCCTCTGTGAGTGAGTTCTAGTGTCCCTGGGCTGTGGGCGCGGTGTCGACGGTCATCCCGATGGCGGGAGTCTAAAGTCCGCTGTGTCACAAGGTGTGGTAGTCGTGGAGGATGTCGTGGTGAGAGGGCGGCGCCAGATGTGGACCGGCCGTGTGATCGCTGGAGACATTAGTCGCTGTATGTCTGGCCGCTACCGCCGCCGCCGCTGCCAGGTTCAGCTGTGTTTGGTAGGCGGCGGCGATGGCGGAGGCGGAACTGACGGAGGCGGGGACAGGCGCCACCGAAGACATGCCGTTGGCGCCGCCGCTCACCTTGCTAAGTTCGCTGTAAAGGTCCGTATGTCCAACAGATTCCTGTAAAGAGAAGACATTTACAGTTGTCACTTGTCTTAGGAACAGCACACGAAATATGTAAATATATTAGAATAAAGTAAAGAGGCAGTCGTGCCTGCCAGACTCTTATTTTCCAGAAGAAGCCTAGTCGATTCTATCAAAAACAAGAGCAATAGGCTACAAAAATATTGATATAAGGAATGTTATTTAGTCCCTAAGATAAAGTGATGATATGAGCTATAATATGATTATAACACAACTATAGTTAGAATAATATATTGTGAATTAAAACAAAATTGATATAACATTTTGTAGTTAAAAATATCTTTTTTATTATACACCTTTCAGGAATACCCTATTTCTTGGTGTGTATACACTAAGAGTTTACTTTAGTCCTGGATAATGAGCAAGACTAAAGTATCCCTGTTAGTCCTACAAGAGATTCTTTATAAAAAAAAATTTAGTATAAAGAATTGCTTAATACTTTAATCCTACAAAGCCTAATGTATTCTTGCTATTGATATATTCTGGCTAAGCCTGATGTATTAAGCTATTGTGGTTGACAGGCCTTGAGCCCAACACCAATAAACTATTGACATGACATGACAGAGTGACGAGACACAGGTAGTAATGCCATAGTATTTCTTACTGAAATAATAAAATAAAAGTAATGCAAAATTTATTTCCATAGAGATGACAATGAGGACTGTCTTGATATTCTAACCTACAGCATTAATATAACAAATTATTGTGATAAATAACATCCCTATATATTAACCTAATACAAGTTTATTATATTAGACAAAGAAAAGAAACTCGTCTACAAAGAAAATCTGAAAAGGAAGATGGATTAACATATATGTCTCGCGAAGGTCAACACAGATCTCTAGGAATCTGTTGCATTAAGACATTCTTAGTGTGCTGTTATATGCCAGCTCATCCTCCTGTTTTGGTGGTACTTATAGTAGAAATTGGCATTATTGAGTTGAACGAACCGGAAAACTGTTTTTCTACTTGTGAAACTTTCTGTTTAACTACTACTTGAAAACTGTTTTGCTATGTTGCAAAAACAAACTAAACTAACCTAACCTAACATTTCTAGGTTTAATACATGATATCTGAGGCCTAATATAGTACATATGTGTGCTATACTAGGCCTAGTAACATTTAAATTTGTTTTTTAGTTTTATTTTTCAGACTATAAAGTGAATAGTACAAAGTTCTACTATGTAATTACTTAAAACGTCAATATTTGTACTATGATGCATATAGATACAAAAACTACTATCTAAACAGGAGAATGGGTTGTAGGAGGAGGGTAGAAATAGCCTAAACAACTCTATCCCTTTGAGATGTATTTTTTTTGTGTTTCAAGTACAGTAAACATACTTGAACTTGAATATGTCGTATATGAAGTGTTGCTTGAACAATGAAAGCTTTGGTGTTTTACTTAAGCTGAAGGGCAGTTGAATTGAAATTGGAAATGAAATGAGTTTATCGAGGTATAAATACACACACAAAGGGATGAGGTAGCTGAAGCTATTCTCACCCCGTTCATTTGTTCTTTCGTTAGTAATATGGGAGGGAGGGCCACACGTTTGTAATATAAGAGGGGCCACACGTTAGTAATATAAGAGGGTCACACGTTAGTAATATAGGAGGAGAGCCACAGATAATTGCAATACAGAAAGTGAGGCTATGTTAGGCATTAATATACACTAACATCAGAAGTGAATATGAAAATTTGTATCTTGTGAAGCACAGTATGCATTTTGGACCTACCAGAGCTACCGTGCAGCCCACCACAGCTACCGTGCAGCCCACCACAGCTACCGTGCAGCCCACCACAGCTACCGTGCAGCCCACCACAGCTACCGTGCAGCCCACCACAGCTACCGTGCAGCCCACCACAGCTACCGTGCACCCCACCACAGCTGCCGTGCAGCCCACCACAGCTACCGTGCAGCCCACCACAGCTACCGTGCAGCCCACCACAGCCAATTAACCTGAGTCCACACCTGCGTCCTCACTACTCAGCGCTGCGATTGCAATCACTGATACTTGCGATGATATCAGGCGCACTGGCCGGAGTCTCCCGTTATCAGCTCTGCTATCACCAGGAGTTTAACTCCTGCTCTATCATCACCAGGAAAATTATACTAAACGAGTGACAGAGCAACTCTATCATCGCCTTTAATTCCTGTTACAGCTTACGATTCTAGTAATAATTTTGCTTTCTTTTATTATTGTATTCTATTTGCATTGTGAATTGATTATTAAAATTATTTCTGGAGAGATAATTGTTGATATCCTCGTGATTATTAGAGGTTATTGAAATTATTATTGCTATTATTTTAATATTTATTAGTGGTATTATTATTTTATTTAATAGCGGCATTATTATTTCATATTATTAACAGTATCGATTCAGTATTTATATTGTATTATTTTGAATATTATTGTCTAGGTTATTATGATAATTAGTACCACCATTTAAGTAAAAAAATTGTAATGGAAGAATATTAGTTGTGGTAATTGTTGCATAAATATATATTACAACTATGATTACTACTGTAATTATTGAACAGGAGCTGGAGCTGTGACGAGGGTTCGAACCTAACCGCAGGGTGTTCCCAGATGCACGCTCTCTAGCCCACTGCGCCACGACGTGGTAAAGCTCACCAGGCGCGCAGGTTCGAATCCTCATCACTGCTTCTATGGATTTTATCACTGATATATCACGATAATGGGATTTTTCTGCGTATTATTATTATTATTAATATTGTTTGTGGTAATTATTTTAATTATAAATTGGTTATTGGTGCCGACTGCTTGTCCTGGTGCTCAACTCTGGTATGACACTCGTGTCAGAGGCGGGCCTGCCCTCGTCTGGCACTGATGGTGATGACACTATGGTGTCAGAGGCGGGCCTGCCCTCGTCTGGCACTGATGGTGATGACACTATGGTGTCAGAGGCGGGCCTGCCCTCGTCTGGCACTGATAGTGAGGACACTATGGTGTCAGAGGCAGGCCGGCCCTTGTCTGGCACTGATAGTGATGACACTATGGTGTCAGAGGCGGGCCGGCCCTCGTCTGGTACTAATGGTGACACCATCAGTGTCTGCCTGATGACATAGTGGTGTTTAAATGGTGACTTAGTAATACGTCTCATAGCTGGAATATACCTGGATTAAGTTCACATATATGATTGACTGTGTCACATATATGATTGACTGTGTCACATATATGATTGACTGTGTCACATATATGATTGACTGTGTCACATATATGATTGACTGTGTCACATATATGATTGACTGTGTCACATATATGATTGACTGTGTCACATATATGATTGACTGTGTCACATATATGATTGACTGTGTCACATATATGATTGACTGTGTCACATATATGATTGACTGTGTCACATATATGATTGACTGTGTCACATACATGATTGACTGTGTCACATACATGATTGAGTGTATCACATATATAATTGACTGTGTCACATATATGATTGACTGTGTCACATATATGATTGACTGTGTCACATACATGATTGAGTGTATCACATATATAATTGACTGTCACATATATGATTGACTGTGTCACATATATGATTGACTGTATCACATATATAATTGACTGTGTCACATATATGATTGCTAGTCATTAGAGGAGAGGCGCATAATACAAGAAGATACACTAATACAAGAACAAATACATCACTACAAAAAGAGATACATCAGTTCCAAAAGATATACATCAGCACAAGAAAAGATACAACAATACACGAAGAGCTAAGTTAACAAGAGGAGTAATGCAGAGTACTCTACATTAAACTCTGCAGGATAGAAGAGTACCACACATACACGGAAGCAGAGCAGAGCAGAGCTGCTGCCTCCACCACCCCAGCCTGTAGACTCACCTGCACCATGTGGCTATTAACGTTGGGTAAGGGTGAATCTAGGGAGGAGAGAGAGGGCTTGACCTCATCCAGGGACTCCGAACCGCTGTCCAAATGAGTAGAACCGCCTTGGGCCGCCCCACCGCCGGAACTCTTGCCGTCTCTGTCGTCAGGGGAGAGAACCAGTTGTTAGAAACGCTCAATCTAACTTATATTACATGTAAAAGCTTGTCATGGGGAAATAAAAGAATGTTACAGGAGGAAATGGCTGTGGTTATTAACTCACAGTAGGCTGGATTGTGTAAGGCAACTGTGCCTCTTGAGTATGTAGGCTTACAGTGCCACTATAGATGAATATAGTGGCACTGTATATTTATACAGGACTAAAAGGTGGGCCACACATTGTCAAGAATAATGTGTGGGCCCACCTCTTCCCTCACACGTAGATTTGTCTTCTTTGATGGCCTACCTAAAGCTGTTTCCAATTTCGAAATGTTCTACCCCAGGCTCTATCCAATTCTGAAATGTCTAACCTGAAATTGTGTCCAATTCTGAAATGTCCAACCTGAAATTGTGTCCAATTCTGAAATGTCCAACCTGAAATTGTGTCCAATTCTGAAATGTCCAACCTGAAATTGTGTCCAATTCTGAAATGTCCAACCTGAAATTATGTCCAATTCTGAAATTGTGTCCAATTCTGAAATGTCCAACCTGAGGTCGTGTCCAATAATTTGGGTCCACTCCAAGATAAGCAACACAAATTATCTCCGGACCAACTACGGGCTCACCATAGCCCGTGCTGCTTGGAGCTTTTTGTTCCAAGTAGCGAATCTTAAACAACACCAACGTCTCCGGACCGAGAAATAGAACACAATATACTATATAAAACTCATCATTTAGTTCACTCTAGTGACGTGAGGCGCCGCAAAATGACTCGTTACACTTATTTGTATAAATGGAAAAATACCATTAACTAGTCCCCCTATAGTTAAGTCGATTGGTCTTACTATCGCTCACTAATCAAAGGAAAGACTAAATAGTCCTCCGTTAAACGAGCGATAATTATTGGGAAAAGCTAAGTGAAAGGAAATAACACCAATGACAACTTCCTTAAAAAAAAAACAGTTAGACAAATAACCTTTTAAAATCGATTTTCTTTCTTTGTCCCGACATGTCGTTAGGTAAACAAACAGCCTTGTTTACCCTCTGAGGGACCGTCGTCCCGCTGGGTATACTTTGCGTTCATTTGTCGTTCCTGATCCTTGTTGCTTGCGCTTTCCTGTCGTTCTTTGACACTAATTACATTGTCAAACTAAATTTGAAACTAAATTATTGTCTGTCGAAGATGGTTATGAAATATATACGAGCAATTCTTAGACAGTGAATATAGTTAGTTTGTTTAGACCGTGTTCCGAGCATCTCTACATCAGCAGGCCATGCTCCGAGCATCTCTACATTAGTAGGTCATGCTCCGAGCACTCCTACATCAGCAGGTCATGCTCCGAGCATTAGTACGTCATCAGGCTATGCTCCGACACCCCTTCTTCAATCTATCACAGATTTTTTTTAACTGGACGTCACTGTGTATGTGTGGGACACACACACACACACACACACACACACACACACACACACACACACACACACACACACACACACACACACACACACACACACACACACACAACTAAAGAACTTTTTCAGTGTCAGAGTAGTTAACAGGTGGAATGCATTAGGCAGTGATGTGGTGGAGGCTGACTCCATACACAGTTTCAAATGTACATATGATAGAGCCCAGTAGGCTCAGGAATCTGTACACCAGTTGATTGATGGTTGAGAGGCGGGACCAAAGAGCCAGAACTCAACCCCCGCAAACACAACTAGGTGAACTAGGTAATACAAACAGTTATTGCTTCCTGGACTTCAAGATTACCGTATTGAAGACCGTCATCTTCAGAAGATCTTAGTCAACAGAATCCGTAAGTGCTGCTGGTTAGATGCTATTGAGCAATACAGTAGTTATGGTGACTTTCTGGCCACAGTGGAGCGAGAGTGCTGACCTGACCTCGACTGACCTGGAAGTTTGCCCGGGAACAACAGGAAGTTCTGTTGACCGAGGTGAAAGTGGTAGAGTGGAGTCTACCTTCCAACCACTGACACGCAGCCACCTGGAGTGGTACTCTGTAAGTCGTTTCATGTATTATTATGGTTGAATATCTCTTGTTTCAGAAGAGTGTTTTGTTGCGTAGCAAGAACGCCTCCACACACACACACACACACACACACACACACACACACACACACACACACACACACACACACACACACACACACACACACACACACACACACACACACACACACACGCACATAACTGACTGGCTTTATAGAATTCTACGATCAGGTGACAAAGATTAAGCAAGAAAGAGAGGGCTGGGCGGACTGCATTTTCTTGGATTGTCGGAAAGCCTTTGACACAGTACCGCATAAGAGGCTGGTACATAAGCTGGAGAGACAGGCAGGTGTAGCTGGTAAGGTGCTCCAGTGGATAAGGGAGTACCTAAGCAATAGGAAGCAGAGAGTTACGGTGAGGGGTGAGACCTCCGATTGGCGTGAAGTCACCAGTGGAGTCCCACAGGGCTCTGTATTCGGTTCTATCTTGTTTCTGATATATGTAAATGATCTCCCGGAGGGTATAGATTCATTTCTCTCATTGTTTGCTGACGATGCCAAAATTATGAGAAGGATTAAGACAGAGGAGGACTGCTTGAGGCATCAAGAATACCTACACAAGCTGAAGGAAAGGTTGTTGGAGTTAACACAAGCAAATGTAATGTAATGAAGATAGGTGTAGGGAGCAGGAGGCCAGATACTAAGTATCATATGGGAGATGAAATTCTTCAAGAGTCAGAGAGAGAAAAAGACTTGAGGGTTGACATCACGCCAGACCTGTCTCCTGCAGCCCATATCAAGAGGATAACATCAGCGGCATATGTCAGGCTGGCCAACATAAGAACGGCATTCAGAAACTTGTGTAAGGAATCATTCAGAACTTTGTATACCACATATGTCAGGCCAATCCTGGAGTATGCAGCCCCAGCATGGAGTCCATATCTAGTCAAGGATAAGACTAAACTGGAAAAGGTTCAAAGGTTTGCCACCAGACTAGTACCCAAGCTGAGTGGTATGAGCTACGAGGAGAGACTATGGGAATTAAACCTCACTTCGCTGGAAGACAGAAGAGTTAGGGGGGACATGATCACCACATTCAAGATTCTCAAGGGAATTGATAGGGTAGATAAAGACAGGCTATTTAACACAAGGGGCACACGCACAAGGGGACACAGGTGGAAACTGAGTGCCCAAATGAGCCACAGAGATATTAGAAAGAACTTTTTTAGTGTCAGAGTGGTTGACAAATGGAATGCATTAGGGGGTGATGTGGTGGAGGCTGACTCCATACACAGTTTCAAGTGTAGATATGATAAGAGGCCAATAGGCTCAGGAACCTGTACACCTGTTGATTGATGGTTGAGAGGCTGGACCAAAGAGCCAAAGCTCAACCCCCCGCAAGCACAATTAGGTAAGTACACACACAAAATCTTTTTTCTCTCCCTGCCAGCCTTGAGTGTGTGTTTCAAGAGAGATCTCACATTATCACGAACATAAACACAGGGATGTGTGACACACTCTGGAGTGAGTTGTGCACTAGGCAACACAACACTCTTACTGGTGAAGGGGGGGGGGGGGGCAGGGGGGTTGTGCAGGGAGGTGGAGCAAGGGGGGTGGTGCATGGGGGTGGTGCAGGGAGGTGGAGCAGGGGGTGGGTCTGGGAGGGATGGGCAGATGGTATCTCTAGGGCAGCAGTGGGCAGGAAGTGTACCCAATGAATGGTCGCATATTTTCAATTTAACTCGCACAGATTATATATATATATATATATATATATATATATATATATATATATATATATATATATATATATATATATTAATATATATATATATATATATCAACCCATCCTCCGAATTGACAGAACGTTTTAATACTTGTAATAAGTACATTTCCTGACTGTTATACATAGTACATAATTGCACTTATGGGGCTGTTACATTTACCCATCCCCCTCCCCCGATTTAAGTCTCCTCGTTTTCTGCTAGGACACTTGAAATTTCAAACAAAATTTGAAAATATCCTGAGTTACTTTACAATTTATTGATATATTTTAGTTTTGTTTTATTTGTTTTATAAAACTGTAATATCAATATAGCTATAGGTTAAGTAATAGTTATAATAAAGATGCAATAAAATGCTTATCTTCACAAACTAAGACGGTTAGGTTAGGTCGTGGTTTTCTATTCAGCTTTTTAGGTAAACTCAAATATTCACCATATATTAGACAATACGATTTAATACTAAGTGTAAATAAGTACAATTCTTGACTGTCATACATAGTACATAATTGCATTTATGGGGCTGTGTACATTTACCTCCCCATTTTTGGAGGACGGGCTGATATATATATATATATATATATATATATATATATATATATATATATATATATATATATATATATATATATATAACAAACGACGCGTTTGTGATAGTGAATATAAATTAAAATGAATTATTTGGTGTAGAGAGACTCCCAGTGGACTTATTCAAAATATGTGAGTATAGTGTGTGTGTACTCAGCTGCTGCAGGCTGTCTGCTGCCCCAGCTGCGGCCACACCTCCCACCACCACCACCACTATCATCACTACCACCACTGTCATCGCTATCATCACTAACCACTACCATCATTACTACCACTACTATCATTACCACCCCACTACTACCACCACTATCATCACTATCACCACCACCGCTACCACTACTATCTTCATCACTACCACTACTATCTTCACCACCACTACTATCTTCACCACCACCACTACTATCTTCACCACTACCACTACTATCTTCACCACCACCACTATCACCACCACCACCACCACTGTCAACATCTTGGAGCCGTGTAACAATGGTTCAAAAAGCAACATACGTTTGTGGTTTAAGCTTAAAACAGGTTCGACACCTCCATTCTCCGCAAGACCAAGACCAAGGCGCTCAGATAACACACCACATATCCCCCCCCCCTCCTTTCCCCCCGTCCCATC